AAGGGTTGAAGGGTAGCTGAGTAGGTATTCAACTAACCCCATTTGTCGTGGGATACACGTACCTGAGAATACAAAATTCACAAGTACGTTTACAAATTTGAAAATATCTATCTATCTTGTGTTTGGTTATGCAGATTCCTATGTAATTATTACAATTCTGAAAGTTTTGTTTCTTTATTATTGTTGTTCGCTGTCCGGGGGTACGTAACGTACCTTTATTTGCCGGCATCACCATATTTCAAAAAGTTAGGGTTTTTGTCTGAATTCAGTGATTTTGGGGCCGTCTTTAATCCCACTTTTCATCTCAATTGATTTGGGTGGTGCAGGTTTCTTTCTTCCTTGCGTGTATTGTTCCGTAGATTCTTCATTACAGAAGCACATACAAGTTTTTTCATCAATCATGTCGATGTCATCAAAGTTTTGGACTCAGCAGCAGGTAGGTGTTTTGCTCTCAAAATCCTGTATTTCAATCTGCCTTGATTATATTTATCAGTTATTTTTGGAAGAGGAATAACCACTTGCATTTCGAGCTTGTGCATTTGCAATGGTGTTAAATTACCCCATTTGTCGTGGGATACACGTACCTGAGGGTTTGAAGTCGAAGAGTGCAGTCTAAGCAAATACATATGAGTATTTTTAGTCATCATCTTTGTATTGCTTAGTACAGATTCAAAAGAAGAAAGAAAAAGGCAGGAAGAAACTAGAAAGCAAGAAATCGGGATAATGAGTAGGTCCAGAAGTTATTTCCTGTTCAGGGACAACACCGTTAATGAGCCCGGAGGATCTTGCGAAAATCAATCGCCCGGCTGTAGTGATGATGAATTCGCACAGCTTACAAAGGTTAAGTCCGCCCCACACGAGCGCCTGGCCAAGGTGCTGCCCGGAAGGGCCAAATTACCGGTTTTGCCTGTGAATATGCTTGTGGGCAGGGAATGCAATTACAGTGGGAGAGGGAGATTTTCGTTATCCGACTCGTGTCACGTGCTGAGCCGTTACTTGCCCATTCACAGTCCTTTAGTTGTTGATAGGATGAACAGCTGCGCATACGTATCTCAGTTTTCCGACGATGGGTCTCTCTTTGTGGCTGGGTTTCAGGTATTGGGGCAAGCTTTAGTGTTGTGTTTTTGAGGCCTGTATTAATAGTCTTTCACGCATTCTTTGACAACTCTCGAGGAGGTCAACCAGGTGGTCGAGGAGAGGCAGCGCGAGGTGTGTGACTTGCTCGAGGAGTTCGACCAGGTCCTCGACGAGCCCAAGGGACTTCCGCCACACCGAGAGTTCGACCACCGCATACCTTTGGTCGAGGAAGGTCGAGCAATGCACGTGCATCCGTATCGATACGCACACTTCCAAAAGACAGAGATCGAGCGACAGGTGGGTGAGATGCTCGAGTCCGGGCTCATCCAGCATAGCTCGAGCCCGTTCTCGTCACCGGTGTTGCTCGCAAAGAAGAAGGACGGAACTTGGCAATTCTGCACGGATTACCGCGCTCTCAATGCGGCTACTGTGAAGGATCGTTTCCCCATTCCGAGCGTCGACGACATGTTGGATGAGTTGGGTGGCGCGCGTTACTTCCCTAAGCTCGATCTACGCACGGGCTACCATCAGATCAGGTTGGCCAAGGAGGACGTGCCCATGACGACTTTTCGCACGCACCAAGGGCACTACGAATATCTCGTGATGCCTTTTGGGTTGTGCAATGCGCCGTCGACCTTTCAGTTTGCCATGAACTCGATTTTTAAGAGGTACCTACGAAAGTTTGTATTAGTATTTTTCGATGATATTTTGGTATACTCGAAAACATGGGCAGATCATCTCGAGCACTTGCGAGTTGTTTTGGGGATTTTGGAGGCTAACTCATTCTACATCAAACCGCCCAAGTGCTCGTTTGCTCAAGAGGTGGTCGAGTACCTTGGGCACTTTATTTCCCATGAGGGCGTTAAGGTGGACCCAAGGAAGATTGAGGCAATGGTGGGATGGCCGAAGCCCGCGAGCTTGACGCAGTTGCGAGGGTTCCTTGGTCTTACGGGCTATTATCGCAAATTCGTGAAGGACTATGGTACCATCGCGAAGCCACTCACCGAGATGACGAAAAAGGGGGCGTTCAAGTGGACGGAAGCGAGCGAGAAAGCTTTCGAGGAGCTGAAGGAGGCCATGACGACCACGCCCGTGTTCGCAATGCCGAGGTTTGATGTGTTGTTCGAGATTCACTCGGATGCGAGCGATATTAGAATCGGGGCTGTTTTGGTGCAGGAAGGACGACCCTTGGCCTATCTCAGCAAGGCACTCGGGCCAGCGCGCTTAGGGTTGTCCACGTACGTAAAGGAAATGCTGGCCGTGGTCGAGGCCGTGCGCGTGTGGAGGCCGTATTTGCTTGGGCGACACTTTCGGATTGTCACGGACCAGCAGCCGCTCAAGCACTTGCTCGAACAAAGGATCGTGACGCCCGAGCAGCAGAAGTTCGTGTCCAAATTGATGGGGTTCGACTTCTAGATAGTGTATCGACCTGGTCGCCAGAACACCGTAGCCGACGCATTGTCTCGCCGGGAAGACGTGGCCGAACTCGACGCAGTTATGGGGCCGACCTGGGCCGTTTGGGCAGAGCTTCGGAAGGCGCAAAACGAGGATGCGCATTGTCAGGACGTGGTCAAGAAACTGAACGAGGGACGCGACAAGGACGAGGACCATGACATACACGATGGCTTGCTTCTTTATCATGGGCGAGTCGTCGTGCCCGAGGCGGGATCGTTGTGCGAGGACATCATCCGGCACTTCCACGACTCGAAGTTTGGAGGACATTCCGGGGTTTTCCGGACATGGATGAGGATTGCGAGCACTTTTCATTGGCCAGGGCTAAGGGGCGATGTGCGCGACTACGTTGGGCGATGTGATGAGTGCCAACGCACTAAGGCGGACGCGCGTCGACAAGGCGGGCTGCTACAACCCTTGCCGGTCCCCGCACGTATTTGGGAGGACATCACCATGGATTTTATCGAGGGGTTGCCACTCTCGAATGGGTTCAATGGAGTCATGGTGGTAGTCGACCGCCTTACCAAGTATGCGCATTTTATTCCACTTACTCACCCATACACGGCTAAGTCTATAGCAAAATTATTTGTCGAATATGTGATGAAATTACATGGGGTGCCACGGTCGATTGTGTCCGACCGAGATCGGATATTCATGAGTAGCTTTTGGTCGGAGTTCTTTAAATTGCAGGGAACCGAGCTAAGCATGAGCTCAGCTTATCATCCACAAACCGACGGACAGACAGAGGTGACCAATCGCACGCTTGAACAGTACCTTAAGTGCTATGTGCATCAATTTCCGAAGCGATGGGAGAATTATCTACCTTGGGCCGAGTATTGGTATAACACCACTTACCATAGCTCGACTAAGGCAACGCCGTTCGAGTTGGTGTACGGGCGTAAACCGCCGACGATCGTGAGTTACTCGATGGGGAGCGCCGTGAACGAGGTCGATCGAGAGTTAGTCGAATGAGACTTGATGTTGCGCGAGCTAAAGCGGACGTTGGAAGGCTCGATCAATAGGATGAAGGCGTACCATGATGGCAAGCGGCGTGACGTAGAGTTTGAGCCCGGGGACTGGGTGTACTTGAAGTTTAGGCCATTTCGACAAAGAACGGCCGCGCAAAGGGCCGCGACCAAGCTCGGAGTTCGATATTACGGGCCTTATAAAATTTTGGCCAAGGTTGGGAAGGTTGCTTATCGACTTGAGTTGCCGGACGATTCTCATATCCATCCAGTCATACATGTTTCACAACTCAAGCAAAGACTCGGCGAGGCGCATACGGCAAAGGATCGACTACCCGCGGTCGCGCCGGACGGGCAGGTTATGGTGCGGCCAAGCCGCGCGATAGAGTACCGACAAGTCAAAAAGGCTGGGAAATATTTTTGGGAGGTACTTGTCGAATGGGAGGATTTACCGAGCGAGGAAGCAACGTGGCAAAGTAGGGACGAGATGCGCGAGATGTTTCCCGATTTCTTCCTTGAGGACAAGGAAGCACTTGAAGGGGACGGGAATGATGAGAACACGGCAAGGAGATTAAAGAATGCTGCGAGCCGCGCTTATCATGCACGACGGAGGTTAAGCCGACGGGCTGCCCAGGCCCAACACATTAGCGGTCATGCGCGCGCGGACGGTGACGCGCGCGAGAATCTCGACCAAGGGTGCATTAGCGCGGGTACAAACGAGGAGGTTCATGCACGAGCAGGCCTAACCACGCAAGGAGTAGGCGAGGCGGGCGCGCGAAGGCAGCACGCGCGCAATAGCGGCTTGAATCGCAAGCAAGAGATATTCTAGATATTTATTTCCTTGTTTTCTAGTTTGTTTAGGACTCCTAATATTTTATTGCTTTATTAGAGTTATAGTTATATTAGGACTAGATCTAGTTGATGCCTATATAAAGGCCCTTCCTCTTGTTAATTTATTAATTCAGAAATTAATACAAAAAACGAACTTTGTTCAAACTCTTTGCTCTAGTTTTCTTCTTGAATTCTTTTGCAATCATAATCGTTAGAAAGGCCGCGAGTGTGCGACTTCCTAACACCTATCGAACGATTTAAGGCGCGGGAGCGGCTTGTCGACAGTCGGGACACACGATCTTCATCATTGGTGCTTTCATTGAGAGGTGTTAGATCGTGTGTTTTTCTTCTTCCCCATTCTCTTTTCATTTTTCGTTCTTAATTTTCGTTGTTCAAAAAAAAATAAAAAAATCGTCAAAAGCCAAAAAAAAAAAAAAAAAAAGCAAAATTAGTCCGGGAAGTCGAGAACGTAGGCAAGCCAGAAAAGATATGGCCAATCGTGAGTTGAAAGAAAGAGTCGAAGGATTGGAAGGCCAATTCAGGGCTATAAGCGAAAGCATGGAGGGTCGATTTGGTTCGCTCGATGAGGGACAGACCACCACCAATGCTACCGTGGCTCGTCTCGAGCAGCGCCTGGAGGAGGTGTTGCGCGGGTTCCAGCGACAGCAGCAGCAGGAGCCACCACGGATGAACGCACGCGAGCGTCTAAGGCAACAGGAGCAGCAACGGGCTGAGCACAACCTCGAGGAGGAGGAAGAATACGAACAACGGTCGCAGGCATCGAACGTACATGAGCGAGCTCGCGTCGAGAAGCCAAGGATCGCGCTCTCGACGTTCACGGGAACCAACCCCGACTCTTGGCTGAACAGGACGGTGCAATTCTTCGATTTAAATGAGATGCCGCAACGTGACTGGGTTCGTTATGCCGCGTACTATTTAGATGGTGAGGCCAACGTGTGGTGGCAGTGGCTTACGCGCGTGTATCGCGGGCGGCAACAACAAATCCGTTGGGAAGATTTTGAACGAGAGCTCCTTACGCGTTTTGGGAACTCAGATTATCATAACCACGACGAGGCGCTGACTCGGATCCGGCAAACGGGGAGTTTACGTGACTACCAAAAGGAGTTCGAGAGGTTGGCGTGCCGGGTTCACGGGTGGCCAGAAAGCGCGTTTGTTGGCGCGTTCGTTGGAGGGCTTAGGTATGATCTCGCGGCCGAAGTGCGGTTGGAGAGGCCGGAGACCATGCACAAGGCCATGGAGGTTTCTAGGAGACGGGAGGAACACCTGGCCGCGACTCGAAGGGGACGGGCGGACTTTCGAGTCCCGGAGCCGCGACGTGTGCCAGCGACCGTGGGCGCACCTAGTGCGAACGCGAGGCCGCCGGGCGCCTTTAGGCCACCGGCAACCGAGGTGAAGAGGTTGACGGAGGACGAGATGGCACGGAGACGGGAGAAGGGGCTGTGTTTCCGGTGCGAGGAAAAGTACACGCCGGGATATCGATGCAAGCGGAACTACTTGATCGAGTTTGTGGACTCGGACGATGAGGAGCCGATGATCGAGGAAGAACGAGAAGTGGAGGTCGAGGTGCTCGATGATGAGGCCGATATCTCTGTACACGCCACGGCAGGCACCAAGGGGACGAGGACGATGCGTTTGCCGGCGTGGGTGAAGGATCAGCGAGTGACTGTGCTCGTGGACAATGGGTCGTCGCACAACTTCATTAATGCGACGCTATCTCACAAGCTTAAACTACCCACGTCCATGGTCGAGCCATTCGAGGTACGGGTGGCTAATGGAGAGAGACTGCGGTGCTCAAAGGTGTACCGAGGCGTACCAATCAGATTTCAAGGAGTAACGGTAAAGGCGGACCTGTTTGCCTTACCATTGGTGGGACCTGATGTGGTGCTTGGTGTGCAATGGCTCGAAGGGCTCGGAGACGTAACGACCAACTATCGGAAGGGCGTGATGAAGTTCGAGACCGATGATAGGTTGGTTACCTTGAAAGCGAGCGAAGGATCGACCAAGGAGGTTGGTCTAAAAACATCGAGAAGGTGTGGCGAGGTGGTGGACAGTTGTACGCTGTCGTGGTCGATCAGACAGGTAAGGATGCGGAGGTGCTCGAGGAGGTCAACCAGGTGGTCGAGGAGAGGCAGCGCGAGGTGCGTGACTTGCTCGAGGAGTTCGACCAGGTCCTCGACGAGCCCAAGGGACTGCCGCCACACCGAGAGTTCGACCACCGCATACCTTTGGTCGAGGAAGGTCGAGCAGTGCACGTGCATCCGTATCGATACGCACACTTCCAAAAGACGGAGATCGAGCGACAGGTGGGCGAGATGCTCGAGTCCGGGCTCATCCAGCATAGCTCGAGCCCGTTCTCGTCACCGGTGTTGCTCGCAAAGAAGAAGGACGAAACTTGGCGATTCTGCACGGACTACCGCGCTCTCAATGCGGCTACTGTGAAGGATCGTTTCCCCATTCCGAGCGTCGACGACATGTTGGACGAGTTGGGTGGCGCGCGTTACTTCTCTAAGCTTGATCTACGCACGGGCTACCATCAGATCAGGTTGGCCAAGGAGGACGTGCCCAAGACGGCTTTTCGCACGCACCAAGGGCACTACGAATATCTCGTGATGCCTTTTGGGTTGTGCAATGCGCCGTCGACCTTTCAGTTTGCCATGAACTCGATTTTTAAGAGGTACCTACGAAAGTTTGTATTAGTATTCTTCGATGATATTTTGGTATACTCGAAAACATGGGCAGATCATCTCGAGCACTTGCGAGTTGTTTTGGGGATTTTGGAGGCTAACTCATTCTACATCAAACCATCCAAGTGCTCGTTTGCTCAAGAGGTGGTCGAGTACCTTGTGCACTTTATTTCCCATGAGGGCGTTAAGGTGGACCCAAGGAAGATTGAGGCAATGGTGGGATGGCCGAAGCCCGCGAGCTTGACGCAGTTGCGAGGGTTCCTTGGTCTTACGGGCTATTATCGCAAATTCGTGAAGGACTATGGTACCATCGCGAAGCCACTCACCGAGATGATGAAGAAGGGGGCGTTCAAGTGGACGGAAGCGAGCGAGAAGTCTTTCGAGGAGCTGAAGGAGGCCATGACGACCAAGCCCGTGCTCGCAATTCCGAGGTTTGATGTGTTGTTCGAGATTCACTCGGATGCGAGCGATATTGGAATCGGGGCTGTTTTGGTGCAGGAAGGACGACCCTTGGCCTATCTCAGCAAGGCACTCGGGCCAGCGCGCTTAGGGTTGTCCGCGTACGTAAAGGAAATGCTGGCCGTGGTCGAGGCCGTGCGCGTGTGGAGGCCGTATTTGCTTGGGCGACACTTTCGGATTGTCACGGACCAGCAGCCGCTCAAGCACTTGCTCGAACAAAGGATCGTGACGCCCGAGCAGCAGAAGTTCGTGTCCAAATTGATGGGGTTCGACTTCGAGATAGTGTATCGACCTGGTCGCCAGAACACCGTAGCCGACGCATTGTCTCGCTGGGAAGACGTGGCTGAACTCGACGCAGTTACGGGGCCGACATGGGCCGTTTGGGCAGAGCTTCGGAAGGCGCAAAACGAGGATGCGCATTGTCAGGACGTGGTCAAGAAACTGAACGAGGGACGCGACAAGGACGAGGACCATGACATGCACAATGGCTTGCTTCTTTATCATGGGCGAGTCGTCGTGCCCGAGGCGGGATCGTTGCGCGAGGACATCATCCGGCACTTCCACGACTCGAAGTTTGGAGGACATTCCGGGGTGTTCCGGACATGGATGAGGATTGCGAGCACTTTTTATTGGCCAGGACTAAGGGGCGATGTGCGCGACTACGTTGGGCGATGTGATGAGTGCCAACGCACTAAGGCGGACGCGCGTCGACCAGGCGGGCTGCTACAACCCTTGCCGGTCCCCGCACGTATTTGGGAGGACATCACCATGGATTTTATCGAGGGGTTGCCACTCTCAAATGGGTTCAATGGAGCCATGGTGGTAGTCGACCGCCTTACCAAGTATGCGCATTTTATTCCACTTACTCACCCATACACGGCTAAGTCTATAGCAAAATTATTTGTCGAATATGTGATGAAATTACATGGGGTGCCACGGTCGATTGTGTCCGACCGAGATCGGATATTCATGAGTAGCTTTTGGTCGGAGTTCTTTAAATTGCAGGGAACCGAACTAAGCATGAGCTCAGCTTATCATCCACAAACCGATGGACAGACAGAGGTGACCAATCGCACGCTTGAACAGTACCTTAGGTGCTATGTGCATCAATTTCCGAAGCGATGGGAGAATTTTCTACCTTGGGCCGAGTATTGGTATAACACCACTTACCATAGCTCGACTAAGGCAACGCCGTTCGAGTTGGTGTACGGGCGTAAACTGCCGACGATCGTGAGTTACTCGATGGGGAGCGCCGTGAACGACGAGGTCGATCGAGAGTTAGTCGAACGAGACTTGATGTTGCGCGAGCTAAAGCGAACGTTGGAAGGCTC